CTTGAGGCTTCTCGTGGAGGTATGTTGGAAGTGATTGGGGCTGTGGGATCTATGTTGAAGGCTTTGCTGCTGTTATTTTACTTTTTTGCGGCGATGTTCGTCGACTTGGCTGCTTTTTCTCTGCCGTTTGACTTGGGCAGGTAGTCTTTTTGCGTCATGTGTGTATAACATCGTAAAAACCGGACAGACTTTGGATGGTTTCTCTGCCGTTCGACTTGGGCAGGTGGTCTTCTGCGTAGTGTCCGTAAAACACCGTAAAAACCGTGAACAAATTAGGTCCGATTACCCTGCAGCAATAAAATGTTGCTGCTCGGCTTTCCGTGTTTTTCCGACCTGGTTTGCAGAAACACATGAGGTTGTGAAGGTGATTGGCCGAGTGATCGTGGCAGACGCCGAAGATGCTGAACGCATCGCTCGAATCCACGTGCGGAAGGAGCCCAACTTTGGAGGCGATTCGCATGAACAGGTCCTAATCTATTGATTATTTCTATTTGTAGATAATCATATAACTATGTATATAGTTATTTATATATTATTTACACTCATCAACATATTGGTTGAAGGACTCCACCGATATCAAAAAGATGACAAGGAGTTCATCGATTCAAAAGTTGGATAAGCATAAGGGGCTGTATTGGTTGCTGTGCGCAACATGCGGGAAGTTTCTTATGACGTCTGCCCAGGTAAAGATCAGTGTTTCTGCTCGAAACTTGCTTTGGAAAGGATTCCATATTGGATGCTCTTCTGTGATTGTTACACTCGAATGAATATTCTATGGGTGATAGGAGTTATAGTTATATATAGTTATATACATATATATATATTTTATATATACAAGTCCCTCTAAACATCCAGATTTTAAGGCTTGCACTAAACAGCGTGCCAGCAGGCAGGAGGGAGGAAGAGGAAGGAAGAAGGGACCGGGGAGGATCAGAATGCAAAGGTAAGCTTTGTTTGTCCCATGCGCGTCTTCTTCTTGATCAGTGTCGTGTTGTTGTCCTCGGTCTTGCGCAGTATTTGTTGTACTTCTTCTTCGTCTCCTGCTTTCTTCTTCTTCTTCTTCTCGCTGGCCTTGGTCTTGTGCTGCGTTTCGCTGGTAAAGGAGGATGTAAGAGGAAGGAGCAGAAACATGTATATATATCTATAATATAGAAATCCAATGAAATTTAAAAATACAATTTTTGAGGTTTCCATGCAAGCCCCAAGAAGTGGCTATATAAGAGGGGGTGCCGGACGGTAAGTCGATTAATAGGTGTCGCTAAAGAAGGGCAAAAACATGAATTATGCGAACCCACCCGGGTTGCAGAACTCGCTTCACTTTAACGCTGTGGTTTGGACGATCAGCAAGAACCTATAGCGCCTTCATAAGAACTGTTCTAGGCAGTTCACAGTCTTATATGTCATGATGTTATGATCATTTCAAAGACTGAGAGCGTGCTATCAAATTCCAATTTGCTTTTGGAAGGCAGCTTCTGGCTGGCTGACCGGCCTGATGGCCATATTTTAGGTTCATGTTTCGTACAGCGAGCCGAAGCTCGTTCTGCGTGATACTATATAGTAGCTTATGTGCACTACTTAGCTTCGCGTTTTTAGCCTCGGACAGGCTTAATGGATAGCATCATTTCAACCGTGGACAATGAGCACTGGCGTCAACAACGTCAACACCTGATTGAGGCATTTATGCCCTTGTCGCTGCTTGGCACAGGGAGAATCAATCAATTTGCTTCCAACCGTTTCCCGTCAATTTCCCGTAGAATCTGTTTATAGATGGACAGACAGTTTGGTGTTCCAAAGCTTGTTCAGAATCTTAGGAGACACAAGGGCCTTAGGTACTGATTGACCCAAGGTCTTTGGCCAAGATCATGCCAGTTTCACTGGCACGTGCCAAGGACAGGAGAAGTGCCTGGCTAAAGACCATGCACATACAAAGTCAAAGGTGTCGATTTCACTCTTACCGTCACTTGCTTCATACACGGGCCTCTAATTTTCCTTAGAACATGGTACATAAAGGACGAATACCCCTATTTGATGTATGCAGTATGTCCTTGGATGTTGATGTGTGAACCCTGCAAACATTGCCAACCAATACCTACAATGTCCGTGTGTAAACGCAGAAAACGATATGGGGCGTCCTAGCTTTGAATGACAAACCCTAAACTCATCACTCAGCAAACCCACTCAAATGAGTCACAGTGAGAACTCACTTGCAACCACACATCGTTGAGAGTGAGATGTGAATGCATCGCGATGTTTCTTTGAGCTCTGTTCAATGTTCCCTTGACCCCCTTGAATAACTAAGCTGCCCAGCACACAATCCGATTCTTGAGCACTTGTTCTTTCAGGAGTGCTCTGAGCGTTTGCGGGAGATGGCCGAGAAGGGCCCTGTTGACATGAGCAACTTTCTATTGTGCCATGCCGTTCAAAAGCAATTGCTTTGCACAGATTTGCAAGCCTGCATATTTTCAAACACGTTTCTGCAAATTCGGCAAGCACGTTGAGGGTCAGAATAACACCCATAGGACAATGTAATAAACTAAATACCACATGAGCCACCATTAATGTTCCAGTGAGCCACCATGTCAGTTCCTGCTGGAAAGTGCTTGGCAGGAACATAGGCAACAGTTTGTTATTTAGCAGGTCTTGAATCTAAACGTCTGATTCATTGATGCACGATGCATGCAGCACATGCAAATAGAAAGCTGGAAGGGGTGAGTGACTGGTGTTCTACCTAAAGAGAGACAGCAGGATTGAACAGAGATGACATCCAAACTTTTTTATTTCCCTCAACCCTTCTGAACGCTTGTCTGAGGCACGAAGCACAGGCACAACTGCAGCTGGCACTGTTGGGAGTGCCAGAGGAGATCATGGAGGAAACAAATGCAGGCAATTTGGGGGCAGCTGGTCTCGCCCTATCCTTTGAATTGAGGATTATATAGTAGCGATTGTTTTGACTGTGATGGTTTTGAATTTTGAGTACCACTCATCAGCAAGTGGCAGCAGAACGTTTTTTGTTTGCCTTTGGCGGGGCATCAATCAGATGGAAGCAACTTTTTGCGGCTGCACTCCCAGGTATTCGCCAAACCTTCATGCTCAGCCCTGATGCCAAGATTGGCCATTTGAGTGAAGCAATGCCACCTGGCAAAGAGCGGTGCCTTCCAAAGGGCAGTCTTGTGATCAGAAGACTTAATGAATTTGCACATTCAGTGTCCCTTGACATGCCTGCATGGGCAATTGCTGGAAGGGTGCAACGGAGAACGCATTGCTGTACTGTATCATGTTGTAGCATTCCACAAGCCTGGCTTTGCACTGCAAGAAACTAGGTCCACAAGCCATAGATGGCCCGTGCGTTTTTCAGGTATCAAGCTGTTTCAACCACATGTGAAACACGCAAACCCATTGAGAAGTGCCTGCGTGGTAAATCCCCTTTCAGGTATATAAATTCCCTTTCCGCAACCTGGAAACTATCGGTGAACACATTTTTCTCTACTTCTTCAGCAGAATTTTCAGCTCATGCAAAGAGTGTCGGAATCACATCAAAATCCACCGTGTTCCTCTTCGACACTACGCGTGAGACAGTCCATGAATTGATTGAGGGTGAAGGAGTTTGCACCAAACACTGGCCTCGGACCCTCCAAACCCTGACCTGATGGGAACGAAACCACCCTGGCCTCACTAGGAGCAAGAACGCTACTAGGGGCTCCCGGCATCACTACTGGGAGCGAGAACGCTACTAGGGGCACTAACTCCGAAACAGTGGACGTGCCGCTGACCATCCTGAGAGCCACACTGCCAAGCGACCGCATGAGTGCATCTGGAGATATGCGTCCAAAGCACACACTAGACTCTAGACCAGCTTTTAACATCCGAGTAAGCACTAGAACAGCTGCCTGTCGTTGCCTCCCACCACCCCTCGCCCCCCCCACACCCACCAACCCACTCACCCACTTGCCACACGCCCACTCACCCATCAACGACATGTGACGTTGATGCAATGTTCGTGAACATGCACCACACAATATGACCGTCTGTGGCCTGTGCACCAACATGCTGCAGTGACATACTCTGATTAGACATCAATGACCTGAGTTGAGGCTGAGAGTGAAGGGGCAGCTGTTGGTGTTGGCATGAGCCACGCGTGTGCAATAAGGAAGGGTCTCATGAAACTTGCCCGAGAGGATGCCAGTGTAGGCAAAGGGGGGCGATCATGACGCAGCTGGAGAACGGACACGTTCCTTTGAGTCTTCGATTCTCAAAGATGCAAACATGTTGGCAAACAATCATGTGAGTGGAAGATAATCGTGGTCTCCCTTTGGCCCTATGACACCAGAACGGAACATTGGGGATCTCTACCTAACGAGTGGTCACGTGCTTGGATCCTTCAGAGTTGAATCTGTTTTTGATGTTTTGAAGAGACTGTGTTGCCCTTGGCCAGCTCTTCCTTCTGATGGCTGCCCAGTCCGAGGCTTGGCCGTGCGACTTTTGGGATCGGAGCAAGACAACAAGGGCCCTACGATTTCTTTTTGGTTCACTTGTCATTTTTTGGTTTGCCGCAAATACATAGCGCCGACTTGGGACGAAAAATAAATTACATACACATATGATACATAGTAATCAAATGTCATCAACAAGGCCAACAGCAAGAGCAAGATTGTGTTTTTCACCAGCTTCTCCTGTCTTTGAGACACTTTGACATGCCGCTCAGGAAGAGTTAGGACCAATGCCCTGAGAGCCTCAGATGTAAACACACTTTAGTCATTTTGTGCATGATATAATTGCTAGTCCAAAGTGAAGCACACTTGCTGTGCAGGCCCACTATCACGGGCTTTGCAAACCGGCCATTTCGCGAGCAGCACAGATTATGGGATGCTGGGCTGTTGTGGGGGCGCTTTGTTTAGCGGCCCACTTTCGGGCGATCCTGCGTTGGAGCTACCACTGAGGAACTCTTGCGACAGTAGAGTCAGTAATTAGAGTCGCCAAGCACACGCTCGATAAGTCTGATAAGTGGCTGCGGAACGTCCATTTGGAACGAAATTAATTCAAGTGATGGTTGAGACTTGGATGGGCTCCGTGCGTCATGGGAACATCCTTTTCTTCTTGTCTACAGAAGGGTAACGTGACCTGTCCAAGATGCCGGTTGCATCCGGTTGCATTTTGAAGAACCAGCCAGCCCATAAACCTGCAACCAGCACAGGGTGAATGAAACAACTACTCCCAAACGCTCCGATGTGTGAGTTAGTGGCAGTATGCGTTCGAGGCTTCCCTTGAACCACTGCATATGTTTGTTCATGTTCTTGTGTAGACTTTTGCATTGTGAGGGATCGGGACGAATCGGGACCGAGGAATTTGCTGCTGATCCTTTTTGCTGGCCATGACACCACAGGCGAGTCCATGCGACTGATTTGCCCACAATGCCACAAAATCACTTCAGAACTTAAGGCCCTAGTCGACCTCTTTGTGTGGAATCTAAAAAAAGCACTCCCTCCGCGCAATGCAATTAGCAGAGACTTTGACGTAGGTCCGGTTGTGTTTCTTTCTTTTGATGGCGAACAGAAGAAGACAAATCAGCAGTTCCAAAGGAAACCGTTGCAAGCATTTGAACAGTTCACACACACACACACACACTTTTGGGATTCAAAGGCAACCCCGCGCTTCCTCAGTGTGATTGCGAGGACACACCATGACCTGGCTCCTGTTTGAACTCGCTCGGCATCCGGAGATTCAGCAACAGGTGCAGGAGCACATCTAGCAGATGGTTTAATCTGCTTCCACTCAACACATTTAGAACTTTAGACAGCTAAACTTGCTGAACCACTTCAGGACGGTGTAAACCTTTTTTGTCTGCTTGAAGGTGTGGAGGCGTACAACAACTTTGTGAGAAGTCTTGGAATTTTGGTTAAGACGGTTACTGTAAAAAGATTGGCAAATTGATCCTGGAAGCTTTGGTCCCCCGTCAGGTTTGTTGGTGTGCACAGACTAGATGTCAGGCTTCAAATCTAAGGCATATATATATATACATATATACACACACACTCTCTGAAGTGGAGAAAGACTCACAGGCCTAGAGCATGCAACATTTCCTTTGAGAGGTAGCCAGTTGGTCCATGCCAAAAAATGTCTTAGCGCAGGACTGTATATTTGTACGTGAATGATGTTTATTTGAAAGGCCCATCAGTGTCCAATCAATCTGCATTCAAGGAGGAAGTGGACCACTTCTTCGCGTCCTTGTGTGGACGGGATCCCTCGTACCAGGAGAGCTCTCGGAGAGCGCTTCAGATGTATGATGTTGACCCCTTTCAATGGATATCATCATCGAGCAAATACATCACCAGTATATACTCACATGCATGTGCAGGGTAACCGCCCTGCCCAGTGCGCTTTTGCAGCAGGATTTGAGCGGATTCGACTTGTTGGACCGGTGTATCACCGAGCCTCATGGTGGAATTAGACTCGGGAATCTGAGAGTTGGTGCACGACAGACAGGTATTCACAGATTTGGGGGATTCTGCTTTGAGGTCTGATGCTCAGACTGTAGCTGGAGCTTCCAGTATAATTTTATAAAACCTAGCTCCTCCTGATCAAGTCTCAATCAGCAGCCAGTCATTTTTGAGCAGTCATACTACTCTTCATCGAAAGTTAGGGACTAGGGACAGTGGCACTTGCGACCAAGGACTCTTCGATTGTGGCCGGCCGTGGCAAACGGGACCTTCCGCCAGTTGCAGCCGCTTGGCAGAGTTTGGAGCTCTCCCCAAGACGATTGTGGTGCTTGAAGATCCAGAGGATGGGGAACATGAGCAAACGAAGCACAACCAAATCGGTTTGCTTTACAGTGCCTGCCGTAAGACAACAGAGCTTGGCGCAAAACTCGCTGCCAAATCAGAACACAAGGTTCGGTGAAGACCTGAAAGGCGTTGGTGGGCAGGCGCACACACAGAGCTGTCAACAAGTGTGATGTGTTTCATTGTTTGAATGAAGTATTTGGACAACACATTGAGGCTGCAGTGGCTCATGCCAACTGACTTCCATTCCTCGGAGCCGTACCGTGTAGCTGTAGCATGTAGCGTGCTGTAGCGGAGTCCTTTGGAGGTGCAGCTTCCGAAGGGCACCTTTGTTACCGTCACCAACTGGCAGGAACCTCAGAGTTGTCCATACATGTATACAGTACTATATAAAGTAGATTAATACATATATATTTATATGTATATAATGATATATATATATAGACATAGACATAGATAGATCATGGTAATAGTATGTAATAGTTCTGTTTGTGTCTTTTTGATGACCCACTTGTTGCGCATGGCACATCTTTGACTGAAGGTGCCGTCATCGGAATCCTGAGCTTTGGGGTGCCGACGCAGACACCTTCAACCCTTGGCGCGACTTCAGCCAGCAGGAGAATACGCTGCTTCGGCTGCCTGAGTTTCCCCTGCGTTAGCACAATGATGTAGGGGTGGTGGAAGTCTCCGTTCTGTGTAGATTCGATTTTAGATGGGGCCCGGCCCCCCGCGTTGGCATGACACTTGAAATAAGTGAGATTTTAGTAATGGTATTGGGAAGTATGGGCCTAGACAGCTCGACGACCACAACAAAAGATGCAAGAAAATGCAAAGGAACATGACTGCATTACCTGCATATTTTCACACCAACAGCTACGAACCCCGCCGTATTAAGTGGAACTGGTTTTGATGCAGTCGCATATCTTTTCCGACCGCGTGCACTCCAAACCACCTTTGAAGAATTCATTCGATTTCATGTGAAAGTTCGTAGAAAAGGAGCCGCAGGCAGCTTCGCCCCTTCAGGAGTTGGTGCGGGTTGGCTGCCCTATGGCAGCGAGGACTCCTCAGAGCGCACGCTTCTCCCCTTTCGCACACAATCCCCGCAGCTGTTTGGGGAAAAACTTTGCACAGATGGCACCATGGCACGCAGGGAAACATGAGAGCAAGACTTGGGAGACCAGGTCTGAAATTTTCAATTGGTATTTGATGATGTATGATGTTTATCCTGCGTGTGTTTTGTGAACTGGTAGCTGGGTAAAAAGCAACATTAGTTGTGCACCTTTCTTTGAGGATTTTGGAGTCGATACTAGAACGCTCTGGTTGAGACTTTTTAAGTCTAGACGGGTAGAGAGGTCCTGTTTGAAAGAATCTGTGATGCATGCGCTGAGGAAATGAGGCTTATCCTCTCCTACATTTTGGGGCAGTTCAGCTTCTCCTTGGCCCCCCCCATATGACAGCTTGAAGGATGTTGAGTTGAAGGCACAGCATGATTTGCACCGCTGCTACACACCTCCAACCCTTCTTCAAGGTGAAGTTGTCCTTTGTATTCTCCCTTAGGATTTGTAGTGATTGTAGTGGTCCTCAGTTAAGACATTCGATACAATCTGAGAAACAGATACCCACTGGCCCTGCGCACAAGACATTGTGTGCTTTCATGTGCTTTTTACCCTTTTGCATGGGGTCATGATGGTCCGGGTCTCGAAGGTTCTTAAGATCCTGACAGGTGGCTGAGACGGACTCCTTGAAGTTCCGTGGCATCAACAAGGGTGGCACCATGGGACCCATGGACTTGGAGCGAGGAGGCTCGCCAGTGACCGCCTCCAGACCACCTGGCTGCCATGCGCTGTAGATCTTGGGTCCAAAAGTGGGGCACCTGACATGCTGTCTCTTCCATTTGGACATTCTGGCACTCGTAATGTATGGATAGCCGTGTAAGCAAGTAGTACTATTGTATAGAGCTTTGCTGCGAGTCAAACACGCCTTTATAGTTGAAGCTCATCGCTCAGTCAATGGACGTCCATTTCAACTTCACACCATAGCTTTTGCGGCGATATAAAACCGGCCCATGCAATGCATCACTTATTTGCACGATGACTTGGCTTAATCTTCCAAGCGCAAGCAGTGTGAAACATCATGTGCAGGTTCAGTGTGCTCTGGAGAGCGCTTCCAAATTGCCCTGAAGCTCCATGTGCAGCCGAGAAGAGCCTAACTTCTGGTTCATGCGAGAACGTGACCAGTTGAGCAGGCAATATACTTTGAGTATATTTTGAGTAGCCAAGACCGTCGACCACGTTTGAAATTGGACGATTCGTGGTCTGCTTTGGCCAGATATCTGGCAAACACATGTGTCGATGGATGCGGCCTTTAAGCGTATCCCAGTCCGATGCTCGCTTTCTTCCGGCAGTTGTATTCTCTGTGGTGGACGGAGCGGTCAGGAGGTGAAACCGCTTGGGCACCCCCGTGTAGCGGCCCTGTGAGGCAAACAGATCTCCTCCAGGCCTAATTGGTTAGGAACTAATTTTTGGTAGATCGACCCAATCAGCTTCCTTGCCCGATTTGCACATGCTGACCAACAGTGAAAGTACTAATTACAGCTAATTACGGTAGTACTACTACCTACATGTTCCTTGCTAGGAAAACCTACAGATGCACGGGCTTCTTGACGACTGAAGATCACTTCCCAGCAAGAACCATCTCTATCACCTGGGAACTAGCTGCAGAATATCTGGGAGATCAAAAAATTCTACATGCCTACATGCCGTCGTAGTCGATATGCTACAAGAGCAGTCTATTTTCTCCTTTGAGTTTAAGCGACTGTTTGTATACAAATAATGTTGCCTATCAGATGCCTTCTACATAGAGTGTGCTCTCATTCTGGGAAGGAGAGGACATTTTTGCAACAAATCATTGCATCTAGCCATTTTGAGAGGGGTGTTGGGTTCTGGGAGAGATCCTCTAAATCATTGATAATTTTCTGTTGCTTTGCCCCGAATGAATGAAAGAGGTTACTGGGTAGCTTTCTTGGTTGACGTGGGTGCCACGAACCATTCACTAGATGAGGGACTCTAGTGGCCGAACTCTATATAGTTACTTCAGGTGAATCACTTGAGGACTTATTTGTGGGTTTCCTTGAGCAAAAGAGTAAAAGCGACAGAGCCCCTCCTGCTAGCCAGAGCCTCATCTTCCCGACCCGCGCAATTGACTAACCTTCCATGTTGCCTCATACGGGGTACGCCAGCCTGACTCTATCAGTTTTGGAGGTGAGTGAATGTTTGGTCGCCAGCTTCCTCAGATTTTGTGATAGTGCGGGGAGAAAAGACAAAGCGCCGTTGAAACAGCTCTTTATTTTTTAGGGCCAGGAACATTTAGAACATCACCAGCAGATTTTTGTCAGAACCTTGGGACACCGACGATGCCAGTAGAAAGGACTAGTTACGAGTTGGGGTTGGGTTGACAAGAAATCTGTAGATTGTAGATGTTTTCTCAAGGGTTCCAACTCAGAAATCCTCCTCACTTGCCACTTCTTCGCAAGGTGCCCCAGCGCTGGCGCAGTTTCCACGGGGAACTCACTGAGGCTGGCCAGAACAAGCTCACATTTGGCGTTAGGAATAGAGGAGAAAGTCTGGAATGTAAACATATTTAATACGAACACATTTAATTAACAATTCATATTTAGCAACCTTTTTATTGGCACCAGAAGGAGACTACGTAGGCAAACTAGACACAGAAACTTGGACAAGCACGACTGGTGCAGGATACCCTCTATGAGAATCGTGAGGGCGAATTTATCAGCCATAATATCGAGGGCGAATTGTGTGCCTCACAGGCCAACTGACCAGAGACGAGAGCAGACGAATGACTGAGAGTGGATGTGATTCTTGTTTTTGAGGAACACAGGGAGCATGAGATCCACAAGCATCGCAAGAACAACACTTGCCAGCATTGGAAGGTTGTGCTGGACCAGCCTTCTACTTTTTGGCGAGCAAAAACTTGGCATTCCGCATAGTGCGAGGCTCAAGCACAGTTTCAGTAGTTCCCGCTATCTTGGGTCATTTTCGCCCTTCGGTCCCACCAGTTTTGCGATGGCGACAGGTGCCAGAAGCGTGTTTCATTCTTTGGTGAAGACAGTTCCTGACTTTTGACAGTGTTTTCATTTTGCAATCGTGAAAAGACACGACATAATCCTCCCCTATCACTCAGATTACTGATTTATGCAGACATTTCAATGTATACCAGTTTATTAAGACTGCGGGGGACTGTGAGAGTGCAGTTTTCCTGCCTTCATTTGTTGCTCAAAGTTTGAACTCTTCACTCACTGGACTGTAAAGATGCTTTTGTCTTGACTCAAGGGCAGCTCTTGGAAGATTCTACTTTTTTTTCCCAATTTATACATTATTTCTACTGTAAGTTGATTCTATTTTTGTTCTAATTTAGTTGTGATGTATGTTTGCTTTAATTTCAGTTTGTTCTTTATACAATTCACAACTAATTGTTTTACAATTCTAACTGCCATGGTTCTATTTTTTTGTTTCATTTATTTCAGATTTGCTTCTCATTTAGTACTATCTTTATTACAACTTATTTAAGTTCCAAAAGCTTCATATTAAAGCTATCAGCTCAAAAGCAACACATCCTTTCTAGAATTATAATGGCCTTGTTTAGGAATTAAGTAGAACTATATAAATTAGAACTGCGGTACAGTTAAATTTGCATTGAGTTTCAATGCAATTCAAGATTGAATTCACTCAATTTGTGTTGAATTTGAATTAGACGCAAATCAGAATTAGACTGAAATTGTAAAACAAACTAAGTTGAAGTGTCCAAGAATAAAACTTGCATTAACATAGAAACAAATTTAAATACATTGAAACAACCATGTGATGAACATGAACATAAATAAGAATCACATTTCAATTGTGCAGGCATTATATAATTTAGAATGAAATTCAACTTGAATTAGAATTATGTTTGACAATTAGTCGGATTAGACTTTATTAAACATGAAGCAACACTAACTTATTTAAATTAGAGTTGACATTGAATTAATATACAATTCGGATTAGTTATATATTTAAGATGAACATTCAATTTTTAGAATTCATTTAGATTCAAATTAGAACTAGGTTAGACTTTAATTAGCTTCAATTAGAATTAAACTAGAATTCAATTTAGAATTGAATTAGGTTTAAGTTAGAATCTACTTTTACTAATACATTCTAATGAATTTTGGCTTTAAATAGACATATTGTAGTGTTGTAAAGCAGTTAAACTGGAATTGAATGACCTGAGCTGAGCTGCAATTAAAGTAGAAATACAAGAGAATCTGAACTTGAAACAAATTGGAATTAAACTATAATTATACTTAGATTAGATTAAAGCTAAATTGAGATTAAAGGAACCTTAAACACAAATTGAAATTATTGTAGAATTGAATCAGAACTCAATTTGAATAAAGTTAGAATGGAACCATGCCCAAGCCTCTCAATTTGGAGACAAGAAGGGCCGGAGTCATCAAGTACAATGCTATCAATGAGGATCAGACCAAAAACCTCGAGAAAAAAAAACCTTAAAACAATTCTCCAGTACTGTTTTGCAGACAAGGTGAGGCATTGAAAAAGCCTCCTGAGAGTTGTTGTTTTTTTGCCTTGGTTTGTTTTCAGTTTTCTCAAGGTTTTGGTTGCCTTTTGGTTTTCTCATTGCACATGACATGGCATGAAGGCAGACAACAGTGGAAATGTATGTCGCACACAGACAAAGAACAATCAGGCAGATTTCTTTAATGCAGAAATCAGGACAAACTGCACTCTCACAGTCCCCTGTTTCGTGTTTAAAAACGGGTACTATGTTTGCCAGTGCATTCGTAAAAGTGCCAGGAACTGTGATGAAAGTCTCTGGCCCCTTGGTGGTCGCCGAAAACATGTCCGGCACCAAGATGTACGAGGCAGGACACGCTGATTCGTGCGCTTCTCTGAACGCAGCAAGAATCTGATGTCAACCTGATCTGAAGCGGGTAGCATTTGCAGCAAGCCATGTGCAAAAGTGCTAAGGCGACAAGGCGATAAGCATGGACAACAGAGCACCGTGAGTGCAGTATCCTTCTTTTTTCTGCGCTTTGGTGGTGTTGGTACGGAAGGGCATGGTTCCTTTCAACAGAAGACGAGAGTGATTTGGCTTGGAGGTCGTGCGTGTCGGCAAAGACAGATTGGTTGGAGAGATCATTCGCTTGGAGGGTGACACGGCCAGTATCCAAGTCTATGAGGAGTGGTGCTTTCTTTGTTCATGAGCTGGCAGGCACTCTTTTTTGGCAGTAGCAAAGAAAACCCTGCAGCCCCTTTTCATATCAGGTTGAAATATGTTGAAATCATTTATGTAGCTATGACTTAGTTCAACCCTGCATTTGCATATGTTTTTGCATATATATATATATACATATACATACACACCTTTCATGATA